CATCACCACCACCCACCACCATTACCCCTACCCACCCACCACCACCACCCGCCACAACAACCCATCACGAACACCCCCTCCACCAACCTACTAATCTAGGTACAGTTTTAAACAATGATCATATTCATGATGCTAGATGGCTCATAAGAGCTAGTATTAAAAATCGATATAAACAAATACTTTATCTAAAAACAAAACTATTAGTTTTTTAAAACTCCATAACATGCAAAACATTATTTCCATAACATTGGTTATTTCCATAACATTTTTATTTCTATAACATTGGTTATTTTGTATTAGAGCCTGGTATTTTTGGGTGGTTATGTATGTGTGAAATAGAAATTTCAAATTTACTTTCTTTTGGTTTAATATTCTCTAAGAAAATTATAAGTTTTAATAAGCATGATTTAGAGACAAGACCAGTGATCGGTTGGATTAGCGTAGAATGCGCGGATAAGGACGCAAGTCACGGTGCCGGACCACAATCATTGTCGGGACGATTCCCCTTTGATCATCATTATTAAAACAAATAAGTTTTCTTATAGAATCTTAAAGCAAAAATAATTAAAAATGAGTAGATTTTTAGACATACTATCCAAAAAATATATTCCTGGTAAAAATATCAATGAAGCATAAGATTATGATAATGTTGAAATAAATTCTAATAAAGAAACTGTTAATAACATAGAACAGAGTTTAAACAATTGGACAATACCTAAAACTAATATTAATACAATATTTAGTTATGAACTTTTGATTATTTTCAAGTTTACTCTATTAAAATCGCAGAACAAACTTTTTCTATTGGTCAAGATCAACAAAATTTACATTTGTTATCATCACAATCTGTTATAGATCATTGGAAAAAATATAAATTTTTACATGTCGGTTTAGTCCAAATTGCTATCAAACCTCTATTTAGACTTGGAATAGATGCTCCTGTTCTTCTTATTTTAAGAGATAAAAGACATAAAAATTTTCAATACTCTATTTTAGCTATGGCTGAAACAAATATTGCTAACGGACCAATTTATTTGAATTGTTATCCAAATTTTTCTGTAGGATTATTTGATAAAAACATTTTAGACACTTTAGTGTTAACTGTAGAAACAAAAAATTTAGAATTAAAAAATGATACAAAACATTTAGCAATAATTTATCGTGTTTGTTACAAAACCATGACGACTACACTTGAACCAAAAACTCGTTAATCAAGTCTTAAAAATAAAACAATTATTTTTGAGGCAAACACTAACCATATCAAAGTCCACACACCAAAAAGATTAAAATGGTATGATATAACTCGATCATGTAATTGGAAGTTACAAAATGTTATCGATCCAAAACCTTTAGATTCTTTAAAACAAATCTCAAATATTATATATTGATCATAAAGATGGTTCGCTAGATATAAAATTTTCTTCCTTAAATATTTCAGCATCTAGATTTTCAACTTCTTTTACCCCAGAAGCATGCACTTCAAAATCTTCAGTTTCAAAGTCAAGATCTTTAAAACTAAAAAGTGTTGGCTATACTAATTCTATTCCCAAACCTTTATATCAAGATGATCAAAATAGTGAAAATAGTCTTCCTAGTCCGACTAAATAAGATTTTATTGATGAACTTCAAAATTTTAAACAAAAATATGAGTTCTAACATACTAATTAATTGTTTGAAAGATAATAGGCTTTGGACTAATATGTTAAAAAGAAACTGGAAAATAAATTCTAATATATGCAAAAACATTCAACATTTAGAAAAATCTAGAGTTCACGAAAATTACAATTTATACAAAATACCTCCACATACTAATAAATATAATAAACATATGGAAAAAATTTCTCGGATAACGATAGAAATCAAAAAATACAAACAGTCACGAAGTCATAATTTAGAGTCAATAAAACATATTTCCTCAATCTTAACAAAACCAGTCTGTTAGAATGAACTTCTCTAAATTAGAATATCAAGTTAATTTTGATTACTTAAAATATATTGAATATTATAAGGAATACAATAATAAAAAACGAGCTTGGCACGACAAAATTTTTTCATATTACTTAAGATTTTTTCACTTCGGTCTTTGGGAAGATTATGTTTTATCAAATAAAATTCATTCTCCTTTTTTTCAATGCTTTGAATTAATTTATGCCCCTAAACACAAAATATAGTATCCATTTAAAAATGATTCTATCACTCCTATTTTAGAGAAAAAATACAAAGATATTACTTCTAATAAAGAAATTATTGTTAATTTTCCACCAAAAAGAGAAATCATTATTGATGATATGTTTATAGCAACCCCTTTAGTTCAAGCTCCAAATCAATTAACTACTTAAAAATGTCTTCAAAAAATTATTTACCAAAATAATTATTCAAACGAAACTTTATCTAGTATTACTGAGCATTTAATTAAAATTAAAGAAAAAATTTACAAAGATAAAAATGTTAAAAATCAAGATATAACAAGCACTAGTAATATATGTTTTATTCATTGTCAAATAGATGACAATTTTAATCTAGGAAATACAGATTTAATTAACGAATTAGAAAAAAGACTTTCAAAATTTCATATGTCAAAAACTAACAATATTAATGCTCTTACCAATGATGAATTTGAAAATAGTGATATTAATTGTGAAACAAATTTTGAAACTCTTACTCAACAATTTATTAATAACGATGATGATATTAATCAACTTACTAATAACTTTTCAAATCTTAATAAAATTCATCAATCAAAACAAAACAATTTCGGAAAGAATCCAAAGCTAACAATAAGAAATAATTGGAATAGAGGGCCTGATGTTCAACTTGAAGAACGAACTTTTCAATTTGATCGATCTCAATACGATGATAATTTTGTTTATGAATGAAATATTGATGGTCATTCTGAACATCAAATTATGAATATTGTACCAGAAATGACTATGACAACTAATGCTTATAAAGCTCATATTAATATATACTCAACTTCAAATTGTTAATATTATTATTTATGGTTTTACTGGCATCTTAAAGGCTGATGAGATTTCTACATTTCACAAGAAGAAAAAACTTATATTTTAATTGCTTAGAACACCATTATAAAACAAGAAAATAATCAACAAATACAAACATTTGAAGATGATATGGTTAACACTTTAATTTTTGCTATTATCAAAAACTTTGTAGGAGATCCTACTACTTTTCAAGAAAAAACTTCAGAAATTCTAATGAATTTACATTGTAGAAAACTTACTGATTTTAGATGGTATCAAGTAAATTATCTAGTTAAAGTTTTTTCGAGATCTGGTTGTAAAGAGTCTTATTGGAAGAAACGTTTTATTGCCGGTCTTCCAAAACTCTTTGCAGAAAGAGTTAGACAAAAATTAAGAAAAAATTTTAATAATATTATTTCTTATCAAAATTTAACTTTTATATATATATATATATATATATATATATATATATATATATATATATTTTGAACACGTTATCCAAAACCAATGATAATTTTTTCATATAATTTACAGAAGGTAAAAGTCAATGATGCCTAAGGTATCTTTGGAACTTATGTGTCTCAAAATTGACCGAAGTCGGGACAAAATTTTGGAACCATTAGGTATCTCTACGGCGAATTGATGGGTTGTCAAGTCATTCATGTATTATTGTACCAGGCAAGATCCTTCCATTAATAAACTAAAAGATCAATTCCCCGCAAATGTGCTATATATAGATATGACATCTGTATTTTAAGAAACCAGAAAAAACAAACGGAAAAACAATCCGAACCGGTTTGAGAGAAGCCGGATTTTAAGAAACGAGACAAGATTAATCAGATTGGATCGGATTGAACCGGATATGAATAACTACTATCGAGTTGGATAAAAGCCAGTTTTTTCTTAAACCGAGAACAAACCCGGTTAAAGTACCAGCTAAAAATCAATTGCGAGCACCTCTACCTTGATGTCACAACTGACGATAGTCAATCACTTCTCATATGTCCCAATAAATACTGGTTATTCTTCTCAAGAAATCCCAAACATTGCCATCGCAAATCATGTCTCCCTTGATAACCCTCATTGTGACTTTCTTTTTAATGTTTATTCTAGTTATGTTAGTCAGTAAATGTAGCTCAGGTAAGGTGGATAGCAAATTGCCACCAGGTCCACAGAAGCTGCCTTTTATCGGGAACATGTTGTCAATGTTTAGTTCCGAACTACCACATCATGTTCTTAGAAACCTGGCCAGAAAACTTGGTCCCCTGATGCACCTTCAACTGGGTGAGATTTCCGCCTTGGTTGTATCATCTCGTGAAATGGCAAAAGAGATACTCGTGAAGCATGATCTCTCCTTTGCAAGCAGACCTGAACTACTAGTCTCCAAGACTGTGATGTACAACTCTCAAGATATCGGATTTTCACCATATGGCAATCACTGGAGGCAGATGCGAAAAATTTGCGCCTTAGAACTCCTCAGTGCCAAGAAAGTCCAGTCATTCTCTTCAATCAGGGAGGAAGAGGCTGGTGCTCTGATGAAACTTATTCTGTCATCTGCAGGATCACCTATAAATCTTTCCAAACATTTTTTTACATTGATGAACACTGTAACGTCTAGAGCTGCATTTGGGAGGATCTATAACGAGCAGGATCTATTGATAGATATGGTACAAGAACTTGCCGTTCTAGCAGGAGGTTTTGATATGGCCGACTTGTTTCCTTCTTATAAGTTTCTTCATGTTTTTACCAGTATGGGTTCTAGGTTAAAAACCCTCCACCGAAACCTTGACATGACCCTTAACAGCATACTCGACCAGCACAACAAGAGCTCAGAACATACAGAAGGGTCTAAAACTGCCATGGATGATGAAGATTTTCTTGATATTCTGTTCAGACTAAAAAACAGTGGCGATCTTGAGTTCCCTTTCACACATGACCATATCAAAGCGTTGGTATTGGTTAGTACACAACTCTACTCGATATTTAATTAGATAGACTTAAAAAATTATGGTTTTAATGTTCATGCAATCACTTCTTATATATCTTGACTACAGCACTTGTCTAATTAATGGACACTTAATCGTAAATGAATTGTGGCTGGTTTGCATGCAGGATGTTTTCTCAGCTGGAACTGATACGGCTTCAACAAATTTGGAATGCTTCATGTCAGAACTTGTAAGAAACCCTAAAGTGCTAAAAAAGGCACAAACTGAAGTGAGAGAAGTGCTGAGGGGAAAGAAAGAAGTACATGAAGCTGATATTCAAGGATTGAACTATCTAAAGCTGGTTATCAAGGAGTCGATGAGATTGCATCCATCACTTCCCTTGTTACTTCCTAGAGAATGTAGGGAAAGTTGTGAAATTGAGGGATATGTGATACCAGTGAAGACAAAAGTTATCATTAATGCATGGGCACTCGCAAGGGATCCTGAGTATTGGCATGATGCTGAAAGTTTTCTACCTGAAAGATTCGAAGACAGTAGTTATGATTTCAAGGGAAGCAACATGGAGTATCTACCTTTCGGGGCTGGAAGGAGAATCTGTCCAGGAATTTTGTTTGGTTTGGCTAATGTTGAACTTGTTCTTGCAAGCTTACTCTATCACTTTAACTGGGAGCTCCCTAATGGGATGAATACTGTAGATTTGGATATGAGGGAGACATTTGGTTCATCCATCCGAAGAAAGATGAGCTTGCAATTGATTGCGACCCTTTATGATCTCAACTCGTGTGACACCTAAGTAATCGTACGTGCACTACTAAGATCATTTGTTTTTGTTTTTCACGACTATATAAGTTACTCTATCTTTTCTTCATATTGACAAATACTTTGTTTATCAAGAAAGGAGCTAGAATGTTGGGGTTGAATGATAGTTTTATTCGATACTAGAACAAAAGGAAGAACTTACATGCTAAATATTACAAGAAAAAAGAAACAACCCTCTAATACTCACTCTAAGTCTTTATCTATCACTTTTTGTTTTTGTGGTTCACTCTTTATTTTTGTGGTGCTCTACAACTGAAGTTAGAGCTCCTATTTATAGCTAAACCAACTTATCAAAACTACTATTACCATTTATTGTGTTCACCATGTGAACATAAGAAGTTACCATTGTCAAATGGTGGTGTTGTGAGAAAACAACCAAGTTGGGTTAAAATTCACACTCTCCCATTTAAACTAAACTTGGCTCGAGATTCGTAATGACGATCATGTTTCACATTTCACCATGTTTCACATATGCTTAAGCTTTGGTAAAGATGTCCTCTCATTGATCCTTCGAGTTGACAAATTCTACTATAATTTGCCTACATTCAACACATTCTAGTATGAAGTGAAAACGAATGTCAATGTGTTTGCTTCGACCATGAAACATGAGATTCTTCATTAACTAAAATGTTGACTCGTTATCGATATGCGAAGTGATAGGCATGATATGATGTCCTGTGAGCTCCATCACGAGATTTGCAAGTCAAATGGCTTGACATGCCGCTGTTGTGGGTACCATGAACTTAGCTTCACATGTGGACAAAGCAACAATCTTTTGCTTTTGAGATTGCCAAGAAACCACATTCCTTCCAAGGTAGAATATCATCCCACTTGTGCTCTTGCTATAAACAGGCTCACCTCCAAGACCATTATCGGTAAAACCAACCAAGTCTTCAATTTCACGACCTCTTCCATAGTTGAGTCCATAGTTAATGGTTAACTCTTTCACATATCATAAGATGTGTTTCACAAATTGGAAATGCAAAGTGGCCAGTTCCGCCATGAAATGACATGTAATTCCAACCGAAAATGACATTATCAGAAATGCAAAGTGTGAGTCAAGTACCTAATGTTACTCCCCTATATTCGGTTGGGTCAACTTTTTCACCATCTTCATCCTTCTTGACCTTCAACTTAGGTTCCATAGTGTTGTAAAACTCTCCGAGTTGGCCGATTAATCGGCCGAGTACTCCCTACTCGGCCCCTTACCGAGGCCAATTACAGAATCTGAGTACTCCTCGATCGGCCCCTTACTGAAGCGAGCAGTGTTGTAAAACTCGGCCAACTCGGTGATTAATATGTATAATATACTTAATGATTTCTTATTTAACACACACATATGATTATTACTACATATATATCTTATATTTTCAGTAATTATTCACGAAGTGAGACCATTGTGTGCTTTTCGGTTTTTGTGTACTCACATATATCTAATTTTTTTTATATAGTTCAATCAACATATGATTTTAACTTATGATTCTGACATATATAATTTCCCTAAAAATATTTCTACATGAATTACTGAATCCGAGTACTCCCAGAGTACTCCTGAGTACTCCCGAATACTCGCTACTCGGTAGTCGGCCGAACAGGTGTCAAGTAGCGAGTTCTACAACCTTAATTGTGACATTACCTGATTGCAATCTAGCAACCCAAATTGCTCTAAAATCTTTTTTTGCAAGAACCTTTTGCATTAGTGGCGCTTTTTCCCTCTTTAGAGACACTTCTTCCTTCTTTGTGACACTTTTTGGCTTATCCACAGCTTCCTTTTGCATGGGTAACGAAACCGGTGTCATGTTTTACCTTCTTCGCCCCTAAGGTAAACCATGTGCTCACTTCGATCATCTAATTCTTTTAGATGTGCCCTTAAAATATTAACATGCGACAAACAACCAAGATTTTTCAAGGCATAAAACTTGACATCTCGAAGTTTTGCATGCACAACCAACCGAGATTGTCTTGGGTTTACAAAAGACACATTTTACACCTCGTCCTTAAAATCGTCTTGTAGATTCGGTTAGATGACCTATTTACTTTCACAACTAAAGTGTTATTGTTATCGAATACTGTAAAATATCACCATCCATGTCGACTTAATTTAACATTCAAAATATTACATTAAATTTGAACTTTTAAAAACAATCTCTTATTAACTAAAAACCATCACCTTGCCATCCTTTATTTTTCATAAAAACCCATAACAATATTCAATAGAGTATCCAATCAAAACATAGTTATAAAACCTAAAATCGCAATGAAACATAAGTAAAAACTATATTATAAAATCCCCATCCTCAATGTCGAGGTCGTGTGTATAGTCACGCCTTGTCATCTTTGATACCTAACGATCGTAAAAGAGTAGTTTTAAAGGGAAAGGGTAAGCACAAAGCTTAGTGAATTTCATACACACACACACACACAACATAAAATTACACATGCTCTACCCCTATCATACAAATAACGGAAGCATATAACTATGTAGCCATACATGCAAGTCAAACAAGAAACAAGAAACAAGCATAAACTAGTTTGGGACACATCGGCTAAGACCGATCCCCCTAGCCTAGTACACCGGGTAATTAAGACATGTTAGCTAAGCCTAATCCATATGCTCAGTATCGCGAGCTCTACTATACGTATTCCTTTGTAGCTTGAGCGAATACCATACGTATATTCCTTAGTACGTTGAGTCGATACCGTACACCCACTAGACACTACACAGGCTAGTACTACCTATACACATCCTATAAGCAGACACACGAGCTAAAGTAAAGGATGTACAACATAATATAGTGTAGTGAGAAACTCACCTCAAACCAAACATATTGTAACACCCGGAACCACACGTATGACTTTCATTGGATTTATTGTCTTCAATTGCATTTTTATGTCCTACGCGGGGCGTAGGAGGAAGACTTCATGCGGGGACTTAAAGACTTATGTTGGGCATAAGTTGAGCTACGCAATGCATAATATGCAAGATTAAAAACGCTAATTCTTGGGGTTGTGAGCCTATTTAAAGGCTCTAACTCCTTAAGAGCCTCTTCATACCCAACCTCCATCCTCCCATCCACTCCCTTCAAAACCTTAGTCATTTTTTGTGCGAATCTTGAGGTCTTAAAGTGTTGTTGTATGCACCTTTGAAGGAAAAAACCATTGGAGAAATATTTAGGAGCTCCAAGCCTTGTAGATCCAGATCCTTCATCTTGTTGTGCACCTCTAGAAGGTATAAAGTTCCCATCTTGGCATTCATTCATGCTAGATCTAGTTATTCATGGATTTTCATGCTTTTTATCCCATAACTTTGGTACTTGGGAGTGTAATCTAATCCAGACCATTTGAAGACCATTTCCTGTTGTTTTTGGGTTGCCGAATCATAAAAATGAGAGCTTGATCAGTCTCAAATACCATATACATGATATCTTAAGCATTGGTGCACTTCATGGATTTAGGGTTTGGCCTTATTGCGCATTAATGGCATGAAAATGGATAAGTTAGAAACTTTATCCATTAGGACGTTCCTTTGGTTAATATTTAGAAGTTTGAGGAGCTGACTTTCTATATTAAGAGCTTAATGGAATTGCTGGCAAGCAGACTATTATGCGGGGCGTAAATCCTTCTGTTGGATAAGGTGTCTAAGTCCATAACTATTTCTGGTATGTACTTGACCCGACCCGGCATGGTCCATTTGGGTTGCATGGCACCATGCAATTGGATAAACTAAAATGATAGAAATAACACGTATGGTTTATTAATATATTATAAGTTATAATATATTAATAATATTATTTAATTAGTTTGATCAAGAATT